TCTCTAAACAACACATAGAGATGGTCTGGATTCCCAGCCATGCAAGGCTAGGTTCAAATAATGCAATAAAGTTTTCTCATAATCATAGTTACATTAAGTCAGGTCACATTAATGTCACATTACAGAGCAAACTACTTTGACGGCTCACAATGGTCTAGTTTTGAGAAGGGAGTTTTACATGTCACCAAGGTAACCAAGAAAACTTAAATATAAATACCTTGAAACAAAATACCAAAGCAATACAATGGTTAACACCAATATTAACTAACATCAAGTCTCCTTGTATCCTAGTAACCCATTCTCATTGTCCATTTAACCAGCACATTTTGTGTCATGTAGTTATCTGGTCCCTAGATATCTTTTCTTGGACAACAGGTTTTATTCTCAGGACAGCTCTGAAAGTGGTTTTACTTCTCTGGTTCCAAATCTAGAGGTTCCTAGATAATTCTGACTTAATAATTTAGTATAATCACTTAAATTTGGTTCTCTAATTTTGAAACTTCAGAGAATTTCAGTTTATATACCATTTTCTGTTTCTATCTTTACCCAAATTAAAAAATTTATGACAGTCCAACCATAAAATGAGCTCTCTGCTTTTTAAAATGATCAGATACTTTAACAATGGGGAAATAATTTCACTTTCTTTACCATTATCCATACAATTTACATGTAAAATCTTAATCCAGTTTTGAGAACTTATTACTAAAATATATTCAAAGCCTGAATTTCCATGATAGATAAATTTGGAAATCAATCATATACATATGTATATAGTTCTTAGAGACAACAGTCTAATCCTGTTGCTTTCTCAAAATTTACTATTCCATTTATTTAGAAAATCTTTTTATATCTTTGTCTTATCACCTTGTCTAATCATTTCTCTCTTAGGAGGATATCATCCCTATATTATAATTTGACCACAAATACAGGTTAAAATTGTAAGATTTTCATACTTGTATCCTATTATAGTAAATCAGAGATGTTGCAGTAGCAATCTATTATTTAATGTATTTAATATTGCACTTATAAAACTTCTTGATTATAGAAATTTGCTATAAAAGCAAAAGAGGGACAAAGTTATAACAATGTCATATATCATAACAGAGGGAAAATCTCCCTTAGCTCTGTTTGATTCCAGGTGTGAGTCATATCTGACAGCCAATCATGTAGTCACAGAGTATCAAAAGCAAGGCTTAGGATTAACCAGGTGAGAATTTTCCTTTTTAGAAAGGAAATAGCACAATGGGGAAATAGAGTCAAAAGGATCCTACTTAGGTTGTGCCAAAGTTGTTCCCAAAACTTTTCCTAGGCACAGACATTCACCTTTCGAAGTTCCCAGACTGCAGCAATGCCATTTTATACTATTGGCTTCATGGGAATTCAGACAACTATCCCTGTAATCAAAGCTCAAAACAATAGTAAATTAGTCCCAGTAATTTTTATCTTAAATAGCAAAATTTCACTAACCACAACTTAGGGCTTGAATATCTTTCTTGATGTTTCCCTAACAGTTAACATTTCATTTATCCTTTGCTTATAAATTAAAACTACTTATATTGTGGGGCTTCAGACATACAGCAAATACCTGATAGATGACTCATCATTAAGATGTTGAATCTACATCTTTAAACCACCCTATACACTTTCATAATAGCTAAGAATTCCAAATGAAAATTTGCTTATATATATATATATTTTTTTTTCTGCTTTATAATGAAATATATTTCATTAAATATTTAAGAATTTTCAAATATCTAATTTTATCATATCCTTCTAAAAGCCCATTTCATGTATAACAGCATCCAGATTAAAAAGCTATTTTGTCTAACAGAATTTCTGTTACAATGGTCTCTCAAATTTCACAATATAAGAGAAGTTAGAAATACAATAACACAAACAATAAATTTCAGATGATGTTAATTGCATTTCCAAATTATCACATATAAAAATCATTGATCTTATTACCTTTGACATTTTAAAACCACTTTAGAGTTATCAGGTATGAAACAATTACATTCAACTAAAGAAATAATAATAATGCAATGCTTAGCATATGCCAGTCATTATATTAAACATTTTACAATCATTATATTATACAATCATTATATTATTTTGATCTTCACAACAACTCTGGGAGGTGGGTACCATTATTATTTTTCTCTTTACAGATCAGGAAACTGGGGCAAACAGAGATAAGATTATAGATCTAATACATTTCTGCAACTGGACTATAATTCAAGTTTCCCTAAATTTTTCTGGCATTTTTTTTAGCATCTGCATTTGGGAATCTGATCTGGGATGAGAGGGGTCAACAGCGAGAGGGTCTCTTGACCTGGGGGAATCACAGGAGTCTCTTTATTTAGACAATCTTTTCTCTTTTCATGGTCAGAAATGTCAAGGAAGGGTTAATAAGAGGTTGCTATAAGGTGCAGACTGTTTATCTATTTTTTTCTTTCTTCACACCAAGATTACCTCCAAACTAGCTGCCTTTCTTCATTGTTCTAGAAAAATGAAGCTATTAATCTTGCCATTTACTTTTAAAACTTTTATAAAATTTAATTCTTATTTTTCCTTAAAACAAATTCTATAGAATGGTACTCCAAAACTTATTAAGATATTTCAGAAGGGTGTGAGTTCCTGGAATTGCTCCAAAATCTCAGGAGTACTCTCCTACAATCTTAAAATGATTAATCTTCAAACTCCTTAATCTGCTAAGATGTTTTTTAGTAGTTCCACAAACTTTGATTATCTGACTTTATTTCTGTAATTCCAATATAGCCAAAGCTGAAATGACAGGGGGAAAAATATCTTGCAGGTTTTTTTCTTTTTTGTTATAACCTAATCTCCTAGGGAAAGCCTAAAGTGGGACTTAGTCCTGCTTACTGGGACAATTACTTCAACTATGAAAGTTCATTAATCCTTCCCAGTGTTCTAAACTCTCTGGCTATAGCCCCCTTTTTCCCCTAAGTTTTTCTGGCTGGCAACATTTTAAATCTTTCAAGGTAACAGAATCTAGCTCACAACACAAACACAACATAGACATTTTACATTTTACAAAGAAATAAACATAGACAAAATTACAAGACAGATACAAATAGACACAGATAGTTTTTAACAAAGCACATAGTTACTGTCCATATAGAGGCACACAGTTACTGAGGTATGTAGTTTCAGCTTTACAGAGATGTGCAATTAAAAAAAAAATAGAGGCACACAGAGGGACAAGAGGCATGCAGTTACAATTTTATGGAGGCACACAATTAAAAAAAATAGCAGAGGCATGCAGAAAGGCCAATTAACAGAGGTGTGCAATTTAAGAAAGGATATCCTTACCAGAGTGATCTGAGATATACTGGGTCACCTGAGGGGCCCTGGAGTTTTCCTCACAAAGAATGGTGAGCTCAACCAAGGTGGGAGCTCTGGGGATTAGAGCAGGAACAAGGGCAGAGGACTCACTAGACACAGGGGTCAGACTCCAGAGAAATAAATCTCCAGTGGTGCCTGGTCCATTCCTACTGGTACTGGAGAGTCCAATGATCCGGTTCTATGTCCAATCCCACTTCTGACACAAATTAATGTCAAATGGACTGAACTGGCTTCTAACCTGTGGATGGCCAGAGCCAAACAGAGCAGGCTAAAGACAGGACAGTAAGAAATCAAATAGAAGTTTAACATCAAAGTGAGGGTAATGGCTTGCAAGCAAGGACACATGTGCTGGGGTCCTGCCCCTAGTGAGGGGAACTGAGGTAGTGTGGGGAGATCTCAATACTTATACCAATGGCTGTGCAGTGAACTGTAGCCCTAACAATGAGGGATAATAGCAACAATATGACAAGTTTGATTCATAGCAGGACTTTATGACCAGAACACAGATACAGCAGGGCTTGTCCAAACTCAGAGAACACCTGGTGCTGGTCAAAGACATACAATAATTATATGAAACGATTCTGGGATTTTGCTGTGGCTGAGATCATCCAGAGGGTGAGTACAAAGGATTGTTGTTATGCCAAGCTCAGGGCACAGCTTGCTTGCTGAGCCTTAGCTCTGGAAAACATGGTGTCTCCTAATATCTTGATGCACATGAAAAAATGCTCTAAATCACTACTGGCTAGAGAAATGCAAATTAAAACAACTCTGAGGTACCACCTTACAACTATCAGATTGGCTAATATTATAGAAAAGGAAAATGATAAATATTGGAGAAGATGTGGGAAAATTGGGACACTAATGCATTGTTGGTGGAGTTGTGAACTGATCCTACCATTCTGGAGAGTAATTTGGACTATACCCAAAGGCAATCAAACTGCATACCCTTTGATCCAGCAATACCATTACTAGGTCTGTATGCAAAAAAAATCATAAAAAAGGGAAAAGGACCCACATGTACAAAAATATTTATAGCAGCTCTTTTTTGTGGTTGCAAAGAATTGGAAATTGAGGGAACACCCATCAATTGGGGAATGGCTGGATAAGTTGTGGTATATGAATGTAATAGAATATTATTGTGTTATAAGAAATGAGCCAGCAGATTTCAGAAAAACATGGAAAGACTTACATGAACTGATGCAGAGTGAAGTGAGCAGAACCAGCAGAACACTGTACACAGTAACACGGCAACATTGTGCAATGATCAGCTATGATTGACTTAGCTCTTCTCAGCAATACAATGATCCAAGATGATTCTAAAAGTCTCATGATGGAAACCAGAGAAAGAACCATGGAGTCTGAATGCAGACAGAAGCATACTATTTTCATGTGTGTGTGTGTGTGTGTGTGTGTGCGCGCGCGCGCGTGTGGCTTTTCCCTTTTGTTCCCTTTTGTTTTACAACATGACTAATGTGGAAATATGTTTACATGATTGCAAGTGTATAACCTATATCAGATTGCTTGCCATCTTGGGAATAAGGAATGGAAGGGAGGGAGGGAGGGAGAAAAATTTGAAACTCAAAATCTTCTTAAAAAATGACTGTTGAAAACCATCTTTACATGTAATTGGAAAAAATAAAATACTATTTACAAAAAAAGAAATGCTGATTGGTTGATGAAAGAAATAAGAAGCAGAAATAAGTGGATGGCATACAAAACTACACTGAGAACAGCTTACAGTGTTAACATCCTGGTTTCTTAAAATTGTCTCATCTCATTTGCTCATCTGAAGTTTGTTTTTTTCAAAATTTCAAGTGTGCTGCTCCCAAATTGGGGGCCATCTTAATAAGGGGAGCTCTGTACCTTAGCCACTTCCAGGAAACCTTTACTTATGGAACTGTAAAATTCCTATTTAGTTCCTATTGAAAAAAATACATATAGATACATTTTTAAAATTTCCTTTTTCTTTTAGGCACTGAAGAGTATCTCATCAGTCAGCAGAACATGGAGAGCTCATCTAGAAATGAAAAATGAAAGCTGTTAATTTTGAGAAAGTCATTTCACAGAAAAATTATGATTTTAAAACATTTCATGAAGCTGTTAAATAAAGCCCTGTAAATTTTTCTAGAAACTTAATTTACAAAAGGAATGGGGGTTGTTAGCCTTAACAAAATTGCTATATTAATTTTGAATATATGCCACCCTTATAAAGAGCATGCTAACTAGTTGTTATCTTTCTCCATAGAGGGCAGAATAAGAGAAAAGAGGTGTAAATCTCAGCAGAGAAAGGTATAGTGACCAATAACTTCTACAGGATTGACACAAGGCCTCGATGGAGATAAATCCTGAGTTCCTCAAACTTAAATAGAAATGGATTCTTAAAACAGGTTTTGGACTTTATTTGCTGAGACCATGTCAATGGTGGAGAGCGTTTTACTTATGTGAAGTTTCAGTCCTGTGAAATTTCAGGACAAAATTTAAAATGTTTATGTGGGAAGTAAAAAGTGGTTTCCTTTTTCCCTTATTAAATCTAGTTTTGTTTCTTTTTTTTTTTTGCATTCTCTGTGCAAGCTAATGATTAAAATGATTTGTTTAAAGAAGAGGAACTTGTGCTTTTAAGAAAAATTAACACTGAATTAAGATTGTAAAGAATCATAGGATCATAAATTTAGAGCTGGGAGAGACCCAGAAAATGGATCTTAGTCCAATCGCTTCATTTTACACATGAGGAAACTGAGGCCCAAACAGTATGGACTGTCCCTTCCAGGAAATGTTCCCAAATAGGATCTATCATCTATAGTTTAGGTATAGACCTGCCTGAGAGCAAAAATAAAACAGGTACAAGTTCTCTCTTAGATTTTATGGCTGTGACCTACGTTGAAGTAACAAATATTGCAAATTTCTAACCTCTGCTGTTAGGAAATATTTTGTCTAAAAGAGATATGTTCTGATGAGATACATTAGAATTTGGTGATCTTAGGAGAATTGGGATAATGGGAGAAAATAGCAAGTGAAGACTTGTCAGTTTTAGACTAAGGACTATTTCATTTTTTTGAATCCGTATCTCATTCATGTAGCGCAGTGTCTGGCACAGAATAAGTGTTTAATAAATGCTGTTAATTGATTAATTTATTAATTTGGAGTTCAGAAAATGTTATTCAGGCATTTGGCTGCTGTTTATACAGCTGCCACTTGGGGCATTTGTGTATTGAATCCAAGAACCTAGAACACAATCACCAGTGCAAGAAAAAATCCAACCCTACACCCAGAATTTCTGCTGATTGAATTTCAAAAGGGAGACTCAATCTTGATTTAGAAATCCGTGGTTAGTACAGCATGAGTATTCTGTTAGCTGGATGAACCAGCCATCATGCTGGAATGGTAGGAATGAACATATCTCGCTCTGGTGGTCTTCTAGATAAGGACTTCAAATCACCAAAATGAAATGAAAGAGATTTTTGCTTTTGATGGTGAAACTGATTTTGAATTAGTCATATCCAGAAGTATTCTGGTAAATGTTTAAAAGCTGTTAATCCAGAAAAAGTGTATGCACAAACACTTTTAAGTTTAATCTACATTTATTCACATTTTCTCCATCACTTTCTTAAGTATAGTCAATCAACAAAACAATAAATTAAGCTCTGATTTGTAACATTTGCAGATTTTCAACATGTAAATGCTCACACTGAAAATTCAGCAATTGACTGTGGTAGGAAGTGGTTCCAGCATATCCCTAGTTCATACCTCATACCAGGCATGTGAATTTGTTCAAAGGTTTAGGCTTTGGCATTGCCCAAGAAGAATTTCAACCCCCTTTGTCTACACATTCCACTGCATTTGAAATGGAATTTATCAGAAGTGAGAAATTGACAACATACAGCAGTTTCAATGACGGTGGGGCTCAGGTGTTCTCTCAGCACTGCGTATACACTTGGAGACATGGGAAGAAGGTCTGATGGAGAGCGTGGCTCAGTAGAATCACTTCGGCTTAGAGAAAAAAAAATAAAACAAAAATTGGAAATTAAACAAATGGTTACTGTAATTTCCTGGGTCCTGAACCTGATTCTGAAGGGTTACTTGGTAGGTTCTGTTTATGTTTAGCCCTGAGATGCCCAATGCATCACTTGACATTAGGTAGGGTTTGTTATCCATTGGCATAGGTAACTCCCAGGTGAGGAAATTCCTGTTTCCAATGTTCAAGTGACTGCTTTATAACAAGTATGTTTCAGAGGTTTGAACCCAAATCTTCCCGGCTTCAAGGGTGGCTATCTATTCAGCTGTCTCTAGACTTAATATTATAGCATGCAACTTATATGTCAATACGTAACGTTGTGCCCCTAATTATGATGTAGAATTGGTCTTCTTCAAGGACAATAGACCACCACCACCACCACCACTAATGATGTAGAATATATTCGAAAAGAGTCCAAGAGATGAAGCCGTGGCCTGACCCCCTGTACCCCAAGCCTTAGCTTTAGGCATTGCATTACAAGGAGATAGTAGTGTGGATAAAATGTTTTCTCCTCAAATACAGATATTGTGGTTCCAGTCTTAGTGCTTCCAAGGGAAAACATTTTTTTTTTTTTAGCAAATTCAATGATAAATATTTCACACATGATTAAGATGACTCACATTGTTGAGATAGGAATAAATACAGAGGGAACATAACCCTTGTCACCTCTCTCAGTGGGTCTTGAAACTGAGGACAAAATTAGAAACAGTGTTAGAAAAAAACATGAAAATAAATGTAAAGTTTTAGACCTTAATAATTTAAAAGAAGCCCTATGGCTAGATTGGTGCAATGAAACAAAGACTTTCTAGTGCTAAGCCTTAGACATCACTTGAATAGTCAACTAATAGTCAATCATTTTGTCTCTCAGAGTAGTTTTGAATCACAACTACCAAAATAAAACACATTATCAAAAACCCTGGATTTTCCCCCTATATATAAGTAAGCTCCAGTAGTTCTGTTTATATTTTCAAAGCTTTTATAATAATAACTTTGTCACCTCGAAAATTTCTGTGAGATAGACCCATATAACCCTAAGTTTACATAGGAGGAAACCGAGTCACAGACATGTTATAGATCAGCAATTCTCAAAGTCCCCAAGACCCTTTCACAGGATCTATGAGGTCAAAATTATTTTTATAATAATACTAAGACATTTTCATTTCTAACACAGTAAATATTGATATATACATATATATGTGCATATATATTGTGTGTATGTGTATGTGTATGTATATAATATTTCATATAAGCAAAAGCTCTTTGGAGTCTTTTATAATTTTTAATAATATAAAGAGGTTCTGAGACCAAAAAGGTTGAGAACTGTTGTTTCAGAGCATTCTCAAACCCCATAGGCAGGTTTGGCTGTAGTTTAAGCATTGCTGGGTGCTGTTTCTTTTCCCAGACCACTAGTGTAGGCAACTCCCTCATAACAAGAGCTGCTGATGCTGACTTTGACTCAGCTTTGCAATCTAGTTGTTCACATTGTTTTGGGCTATGTAAAAAATGTTTGTACAATTCAAAGGATCCATTTCCTCCTTATCTGTAAAACAAAGAGGCTGGACTAGATGATCTTAAAGGTTCTTTCTAGCTTTAACAGACTATGAAATGGAATCCCATGGAAGAGGCCATGGGATTATTTTCAATTTTTGATATTTAGGTGTATATTTATTTTTGTAATGATGATTAAATAAAAAAAAAACATGAACAAAAATCAACTCCATTTTCCCTTTGGTCTTAAAAAGCTCAAAGCAAAAGATGTTTCTATTCCTTTCCATTGACATGAGTTATCTTTCAAATTCTCTAAGAAAAAGTAAATAGAAGCTAACCTTCATTTGGCTGAGAGCTGTAGTGTTTACCAAATGCTTTATCTTTGGGAATGTCAGGATATAAATACTTCAGTGGGTTTTCAGGGACATTTTCAGCCATAATAACTTTGTAGTCTCGAAGAATGTCAGCAAATGGCAGAGCCGCTAAACGGCCTTTATTGTAGGGCTCTACGGAATGGAATCTAACTTCTCCTGAAAGGAAAAAAAGGCAGGTGAATAGTCAACCAAGACACCATCTGTATGCACACATTGTTCTTGATTACTGCTCTTTCTGCCCATGTTATCTGTGTATCATTGGGTTTAAAATATTTCCAGACATTCCATAGACTAGGCATTTTACAGATGGCACCCATATAGAGGGTTTTCATTTGGGCAATTATAAATTCACGTTTTCCCATCCAAATATCGAGTAATTGTTAGGTGATACACAAGCTCACTGCAGATATTTTAAAAAAAACTCCCCCCCCAAAAAAACATATGTACAATCACCAGTCTTAAATCCCTAAATAATAACAACAAAATCTCAAGAAGATGCTATTTTAGTGATATAATAGAAGGTAACACAAGAAGACATGTGACATACCATTTTCTGACTGGTCCACCCACGTAAAGGTAATACCTCCAAGGTTGCTTTCACTGAATCTTAATAAAAATGTTCCTGGCATCTTATCCTTCAGCAAGACTCGCTCTTTCTCCTTGCTTACAAAGCCCATTATATACCTAAAAGAATAGTTCATGGGTTTACCTGATGAAAAACTATGACATCTACCTAGGTAAATCTTCTGTTACATCCATGAAGCCAAAGTGTTCAATGTGTTTTTGAGCACATTCAACAGAGTTCACATCTGAAATTCTCTTAATCATATAGTGAACATTAATATCAATAGGCTTTGATGTAAATAATTTAAGAGCCCAAGAATGTTTTTTCAATGGCATTAGACATGTGTCAAAGAGCAAATAATACAACATGCAGAAAAATGACATATTCAGAGAGAGATTATAGCACATGATTTACCCGTCAATCCAAAGAGGAAGAATGTGCTTTTTTATTAAATCCAGGATTGCTTCAAGCCATACCCAAAAGGTAAATGCCTTGCCAGGTAAGTGTTCCTATTTTCATTAAAAAAAGAAAAAACAAATAAACAAAGGATACAACAATCACTTGGTAAGTAGCATTAGTAAAATATAAATCATCATATTTTATTTCATGATAAATAATTCAAATTTTATTTTCTGTTAAGTTAGAGAAACTTTTAGAGTTTCTCTTTGAAATATATTTATCTAGGAAATCCTTAAAACTTCATGTCATGGTATGAGGCGGTAATGATAATATTAAAATGCTTTCCTTACAACATCCTGGAGGTGGGTAATTCAAATGTAATTATCCCTGTTTACAAATGAGGAATCTGGGGCCCAATGAGACTTAATTGATTTGTCTAGAGCCATAAGACTAGTAAATTGTTGGAGCCATACCTTGAAGCAGGAGCTTCTGACTCAAAGACTGAACTTCTCTCCCCTTCCCTCCCCTGCTCTGGTCCCCGTTCCTGATTCCATCCCCCATCCCTTTGCTGTGCAGTTCTGAAATGAAGTATGACTTTTCTTTTCCTCCTGACCATACCTTGCAGAACTTGGCCCAAGAGAGTTGACCATCATTGTAGCTAGTTTGTTGCACTAAAATTAAAGAAGAGAAAATAATACTATTTTTCTTGTTCACAAAATGTTTCTGATTTTTTTACCTAAACTTGTTTTTTACTTCATTTCGACAAACCTACAGACATAGTTGAGAGCCTATCATGAACTTAACTTGTGCTTTATGATAGATGCCAAAGAATAAGACAGATTTTCAGCCCTCAAGGAGCTCACTATTTAGTTGGGGTGGATGGAGACAAGGACAATGCATTTGAAAAAGAGAACATGGAAAAGAGTGTAATCATATACTAAGCTATGTGGTAGAGATGTTAAGTGCCCTTAGGATTCAGAGAAAGGGAAGGTCATTGTGGGTCACAGTGGTCAATGAAGTTCAATCAACAAATACGTATCAAGCACCTCCTAAATTTGAGTCACTGCTAAACGCTGGAATACAAAGACAAAATTGAAAACCAATCCCTGCTCTGAAGGAGCTTACATTCTAATGAGTCAGGGAAGGTTTCATGGAGTAGGTGGTTCCTGAATTTGACACTGAAGGATGAGTAGGATTTGTATTGGTGGAGAGGAGGGCACTCCAAGTAGGGTAGGGTAAATAACTTAAGGAAAGGCGCGGAAGGGGGAATGACCAAAGCTTGTCTGGGGGACAGTGCCAAGAATAGCTTAGCTGTAGATGAGTTCATATCGGAAAAAGTGAGTGATGAGGGAACTGAGGGGATTAGCTCGGCAAATGGTAGTGGGAATTGAGTGAACCACACTGACTCCATCTTGTGACTGAATTCCAGTGCTAGCTCAATTCCTTTTCTATTCAACTAAGGATCTAGTTCAATTTCCGTCTTGTGAGAAAACTTTATTCAATTTTGGGAATTGGGAGAAAACCTTATTACATTGTTTGAACTTAACCCTGCATGGCTAGGGAAGTGGACCATCTCTCCCTGCTGCTTAGAGATGCAAGGAATTTTCTCATAATTATACACCTCAGGCAACCCATATGTCTTATCTGAAAACTGGTCCCACACTGATCAATCAGTTATTGTTTCCGTGTTCCTTTGATTGAATACAGACACTTGATGGGAATGGGGCATCTCTTTGTCCAATTTCAGGGAACTGCATCTATTCATTCTCCCCCTCCCAACTAAAAACTCCTTAATCTTTCCTCCAATTAGAAATCAGATTACCTAATTTTGTATCCTGGTTAATTGTTTTTTCTTAATTAATTGGTCTTATTTGAATAATTGTTTTTAATGCATAAAAGTCTGTTTCTCCCTCTATTCAGGGTCCAGCGCCAAAGCTGAGGAAGGCAACCAGTCTCAAATTGTTAGGCAATTGGCATGCATTGCTTAATAAATTGATATGCTCAGAAGCTCAAACCTTTGTCATTTCATCTTTCACATGCCACAGTGATAAATTCCTACATGCAAGGTGGAACACTAGAAATTAGGATTAAAAAAAAAAATGAGGCTTGATCCAACAGATTAGGTGGAAGGTTTCTGAATAAAGCTGTCACAGGAAGTAAATTGTGTTTCCATTTATCTAAGCCTATGTTAACATTTCACTGATCATATGGATAGAAGCAAAGTTTGAAATCCTGGATCTGTGATTTTATCATGATAGGATATTCCTGGTTTGGAAACTCCCTCAATGGCATAAGGGTAGGAGGAGGGCACATTCAGGGACTCACCTATAACTTAGATACTTAACAGGAATACTCATAATCGTGTAGATAGTATGTGTCAGGGGAGGAATTTGAATCTAGGTCTTCTTGACTCCAAGACTAGCTTCCTATCTACTATGCTATACTATCTTTCTATTAGAGATTGTTTCATTCTTTGTACTTGTATAGCATCTGGCACGTAATAGGTGCTTAATAAACATCGGATTGATTGCTATGACTTTATTTCGGAACTTCATTAATTTGGGGTTTCTTTGGTGGGATAATGATTTTAAAAGCATATATGTATATATATATACATACACACATATACATACATATGTGTGTATACATACATACATATAAATACATATATGTGTGTGTGTATACACACACACACACACACACACAAACATATGTAATTTAGAAGTAAGTTCCCACAAACTCTTTTCCCTTTAAACAAATCCACATTCTTTTGTAGGGATATGATAACTCAGCATTCTGGGTAAAGGATAACGATCACAAGAGCAGCAACAGCACCTCAAAGTTACAAAGAGCTTTCCCACTACAACACCATAGATGAAGTTAAGTTAAAAGTTAAGAAAAATAGAAAATTGCTATTTGGTGAAAAGAATTTTCCATCTTGCTACTTTTGATACTATTCACTCAAATGGATTTGGAATCCCATGTTTGGCTTTACTTCTTCATGTCAATCGCTCTTGCAGTCCACATTCAGTTCTAGTACTAAGGGTGTTTATGAGGTTTACCTCAGGTTCTTACCTTTCTCTACAGAGCTACATAGAACAGACTAATTATGCAAACTGGTAGCAATTTTTAGCCAATTTGTAAAATTGATCAAACTCACAAGTAAACTTTAAAATTTCTGAGGAAAGGGTATTCTTCATACACTGAATTAGCTGCCTAGTGAGTTTTTTTTTTAATTACGAATATTTTTTTCTGTAGCTAATTCTGCCCTCTCACTTTAGGTTATATTACTTGCTTCCTCTTAGACCTCATTGGGTGTAACACAAATAGAAGAATCCTAGAATAGACTGGGTTTTTAACCCACCAATCATCAAAAACAGATGAGAGCTTTCCATCTCAAACAACACTTACCTGTGAGTTTCTCAGCCAACATACTGAGTTGGTCTGAGTTGAGACCTCGTCCAACATATGATGAAAATTGCCAGCTCAGCACTTCTAACAACTGATTCAAAGCAGCCGTTGGAGGGTTATTAAAGAAAACCAAGTTCTGGAACAGAGTTATAATTGTGTCACTGTTAACCAGATCCAAAAATATTGTAATTTCTAAGCTGTAAAAGGGGAATTACATATGATAAAAGCACTTCCTAACAAGCCTATCAAAACGTATGACCTCAGATTCAGACACCTTCAGGCATCCTAACAGCAATGTAGTAATGGAGGATACAGTTTCACCTTCCCTCTATTTCTCTGACTATTTGTGGTGTGCTCCTCACTTGCCTCTTTCCTTTTTTAAACTTAATTTTATTTTTAATTTATGAAATAGAACAAGCATTCCTATAATAGTATAAAAAAAGATGATTGCACATGAAACTGCAAATCTATTATGTACACCTTGCTATTCCTTTTAAATATATAGTAAAGTTATCATGTACATTTCTTTTTATTTCTTCCTTACTCCTCTCTCTGTTCCCCCCCCCCATGGTTACCATTAGACCCAAATAGGCATACATATGTAAAATTATTTTATTCACAATTCCACTTATCAATTCTTTCTCTGGATGAAGACAGTGTCTTTCTTCATATGTTCTTTACAGTTAATTTGAGCATTTATAATAGTCAAAGGATCTTATTTGTTCAAAGTCATTCTTAGAACAATATTGCTGTTACTGTGTACAATGTTCTGTTGGTTCTGTTCATTTCCCTCTTCATTATTTTGTGCAAGTCTTTCCACGTTTTTCAGAGATCATTGTGCTCTTCCTTTCTTATAGTACAATAGTATTCCATCGCAATCATATACCACAACTTGTTCAGCCATTTCCTCTTTCCTTATCTACAAACCCTAGCTACCTCTAGGAAAGTACTTTGTCTCTAGAGTTTTATTATTTGACATCTAAATATTTGTGTCATTACAGGGTTTTTTTGACTATTAATCAATTCATTCAATTGACTGGTTAACTTTGTCTGGCAAAGTGGTGATCTCAATCAATCCACTGTAATGATTTGTTGTGAGCCTGAATCATACCATATTGACACACCTTTGGTTATAAAATGTCTCTGATTGATTTGTGATGGCTTAGACTATGTCTCATCCTCACTAGTAAAAAAGCAAAAGATATGACAACATCTAGGGTACCAGGTTCCAAGGCTAAGTGAGGAAAGCACTCAAATGGAAATGGATCCCTGCTGACTGTTGACTTAGAAAAGCGCAAATTAACATTATCTATGTTGCATGGTATTTTTATTTATTTTGGTTAAACATTTCTCACTTAGATTTTAATCTGGCTTAGGCCTCACCTGCTATGGGTTTGACACTTCAGAATAAGTGTGTCAGAATCATGACTTTTTTTTTTTTTGCTGTAGATAAAAGTTGTTTTATGTGAGGGCCAATGCAGATGGAGATACCTTTAGAGCTAACTAGAGAACTTTGAATGATAATTAAATTTAAACAAGCATTTTAGTTTAGCATATAAGCCTACAGTGTTCAAGGTAAGTGTTAGGTACTGGGATTACAAAAACAAAAACAAAACAATCCTTGCCCTCAATGAGCTTACATTTTATTGGGGGGACCACATGCACATTGAGAAGTAAATATAAAAAATTTATAAAATAACCATTTTACAAATAGTTTATAAATATATAGTTTATAAAATAGCCATTTTATTTTACTTAATTTATATTTATTTGTTTTGTATTTATATATTTACTATTTATATGTATTTGTATTTTATATTTATATTTACTAGATATTTACATATTTGTGTACAGGTACTTCTGCCACCAAAGCTTCTTGAGGAAGAGAGTGTTGTTTTAGGAAAAGAATTATAACAATATTCGAATATAATTATAACAATATAACAATTATATAACTATATATATAATATAACAATAGTAGAATAAACAGACTTAAGATAGTCAAGGAGCAGAAAGGTGTGAAAGATATGACTAAGGAGAGAAAAAAAGCATCTGGAATAGCACAATTTGGTGAATTTTGCCTGGGTTGAATGCTAGAAAGTACACTCATATGCGAGATTTCTACATGTGGGAACAAAGAAGGTTATAACAATCAGCTCAGGGGCAGCAGTTTTAGCTTAAACCTGAAGATTGTATCTGTATAAACAACTGAGAGAAAAAAAGTCCATTGTTGAATTCTCTTGGCTTATGGTACAGGATGAGTAGCATTGAACACAGGGAGTAGCCTATTTTGGGGGAGTGGGGTGGGGCAGGGCCCTTGCAGTCTTTTATCTTAACAGTACTGCAAATGGCCTACAATATTCCCCTGCTCCTAAAGTACCTCTTTAATGCACTTGCCAGACCCAGGGAGTTCTGTTCTTCTTCCTGGGGTTGAGACCATGTTTTAGGCACAGGTTTATCATTGTAGGCTGCGTTCCTTTAGCCTTTTTTCTTGACTCATGCATCTTGGCTTGGCTCTACTTGCCAGTCCTATGTTTCTCAGACCCAAATTTCCTTCCTTCACCATCATCATTCCCTTATGTATGCTATCCCTATCTGTGCCCCTGCCCCTTGGGCCATTGAAAAAGCATTCTCAGGCTCTTGTATTATTTACATCAAAGCCTATTGATATTAATGTTCATCTATATGATTAAGAGAATTTCAGATGTGAACTCTGTTGAACGTGCTCAAAACACATTGACCACTTTGGCTTCATGGATGTAACAGAAGATTTACCTGGGTAGATGTCATGGTTTTTCATCGGGTAAACTATGACTTTAATTCTGTTACACAACAGATGAAACATGTATGAAAAGTTTTTCAAAATTTTCTTATCTTTTCTTCTTTCTTTATGCTTCCACCACCCCCTTATTTTTATTCAATGCCCCCAAATTGCACTTGAGGCTACTACCCTCCCATCATTCCAGCACCCCCCCCCAGAGGGTGGTATCGCCCACTTTGGGAACCTCTGTACCTATGTCCTCTATTTAAGGAGAGGATCCATGGCATGCACTTCGTGATTTCCCACCTGGCTTTGGGACTTAATCATCCCCTTCTGGGTACTCTCCTTCCCTTCCCTCCTCAACACCTCCTCTATCTTGTAGAGGCTTCCTCCATTAACTCCTTGAGGGCAGGCACTGTCTTTTGCTTTTCTTTGTATTCCCAAGTGCTTAGCACAGTCCTTAGTAAACGTTAAAAAAGTGTTTACTGATTGACTAATTCTTCCATAGAACAAAAACTTCTTGAGGGGGAAACTTTTATTTTTATATTTGCATCCCTGGGGCCCAGCATAACGTCTGGCACACTATAGGTGTTTAATAAACAGTTTTTTATTCATTTTCAATTTCCAACTATTGTTAAAGTACTAATCTACCTCTAATTCTTCTACAGATAGAAATATAGAGTGGGAATATATAAAAATGATTCTCTTCAAAATTTTATCTTTAGTGACTAGACAAAGTTAGGAAGGAAGGACACAGCAGATGGAAATGTTGTGGTCTGAGAGGTTCAGAGATCCCTCAAGGACAGAAATATAGGACAGGGTCATCTGGAATGACTTCACAGACTTAAGCATTCTTTAAGTCAAGTTGGCAAAGATTTATTGTTATACTTTTCAGTGGGCAAAAGTTCTTAAGGAACCTGTGACCTTAGAGGGGTTCAGTTAAGGTTTACGTAGGATAAACTACAGTAAAAACATGTGCCAGATATGCTAACTAGGTGATTCAGGGTGGGAGTGGGGAGTGGTTAAGGAGTCGTCAGTTCTTTTGTATCTACTGAGCAGGCATTTTACCAGGAGTTCCCCAGGAAAAACCCAAGGTGGGGCTACAAGGAGGTGTGGTTTGTAGGCCTGCTTTGTCACTGAGTTAACTAGTGGTCAGGGCTGTCTGAGGGTTGTCCAGTCTGCCACCAATCAATGTCTTGTTTGACAAGATAGATGTAGGGAGTATACATATGTCTTAAGTCTAGATTACACACAAGGAGTCCAGGCTGCAGATAATGAGGTAGGGAGTTGGTATAGATAGTCCAGTGGGTACGAATGACCCAGTACAAAGCCAGTTCAAATTAATAACTCCTACAGGTGCGATTTGTGACCACACCAAGGAGAGTGATATAAGTGTGTTGCTGAGACCTACTCACGAGTAACTGCTAGGCATAGTGTCCTTGGGCTGGGGAGAAACTGCCAGGGATGAGGCTAGGGAGAAATATGGTCTTGGAATTGGGGTCCCAGTACAAGCACCCCATCAGCATCTTCCCCAAAATTAAGTGCTGATGAGGAAAATCGTTCTTGCCTTTGTAAAGGATTTCTCAGATAGACAAGCTAAAGTTAGCAAAAAAAAAAGAAAAATCTGAAACTTCAGCAGTCAGGAGACACAAAAAAAAGTGTACCGCTAAAGGACTGACATGTCATCCCTTCCTTCTCCTCCTCCTATTTGAAGGGAGTTAGCAATCACCTTCATCATTGCCTCTCAGGCTCTTTCTAGAGCCCAACTGCCTCTTAGAAATCCTTGAATGACCACCAGATGGCAGCAAAACTCAGGCTGTGGGGACCTAGGTTAATTGTACTGTGATCATCTCTTGATTATCTGTGCTCGTAGGGCCCCCCTGCCTTCAGTGGCTAATTGAGAGCTGTAAATGATGCTCACAGCTGCTTATGAAACTCAGCAGGTTTCCTGTGCTGAGTAAACTGGGAGAATGGGGCTAGGGATGGACCTTAGGAAGGAGGAACAACCTATAAGTGCAAAGAAATTGTGCCATATGGAACTGACTTATCTTCAGGCCATCCCTGGCTAGTGCCAGAAGCAAAGAGCAAAATGGTCTGCTCCTTCCAGGAGGAAAGCTCAGTTCTTATGAAAACAGACTTGGAGCATAGGTGTCATCTAGCAAGATCCAGAGAAATTAAATGACTTGTCCAAGGAATAAGTGGAAGAGTTAGGATTTGAACACAGTTCCTCTGACTCCAAAACACTGGGGCACACAGTAATACTCAAGGCACAAGTCAGATCTAGGAAGTAGGTCACTGTGATCACTATTTAGAAGTAGCAGGAGCAGTCCTTTCAGAAGCAGCTAGGCGGCACAGTGGACAGTGTACAGTCTGGAGTGAGGAAGATTCACTTTCTGAGTTCCAATCTGACCTTAGACACTTACGAGCTGTGTGACCCTGGGCAAGTCACTTATTGCTGTTTGCCTCAGTTCCTCATTTGTAAAATGAGTTGGAAATGGCAAACCAATGGAGAAGGAAATACCAAGAAAACCCTCAAAATGGGGTCATAAAGTCAGACATGACTGAAATGACTGAACAACAACAACAAAAACAGTTCTTTCACTACAAATTACTGGAAATATTTGGGAGTCCTGAGAAATCAGGCTATAAATATGTAACTGTTCATAAAAATTTAACTATAGAAAATGTATGTGATCAAATATGTATATGTATACTTATATACACGCACATGTATAATACATATAAACATAAACACACATGCATATACATATACCTATACAGAAATATACATATGCATACACAACACACATACACACATATGTCTTGTTTGTACATAGTTGTTTACATACCATCTTCCTAATTATACCATGAGCTTGAGAGTACAGACTGGGTTTTTTTGGCTTTTCTTTGTATTTCCGTCTCTTTACACAATGCCTGACACACAGTAGGTACTTAACAAATACTAGTTGACTGACTGACTGCCCGTACAAAAGGAAATACATTGTAATTACAGAGAAATAAAGTAACACAAATATATGGCATCTTCCTACCTGAGAGTCATTGGTTGATAAATTGTACCAAATTATAGAAGCCCAAGCATTAGGTAATTGACTAACATTGGAAATCATCACAACAGGTAATGAATTTGTCTGTTAAAAAAAAGACATGCAAAGATATTAGGATCTAACACTTATTGATGTTGAAAAAGCTGCTCATATAATGTCTCTTGAAAGACTTTGTCCAATGAGTCCATAATCTAATATTTATTACTGTTGGAGAAAATAGAAAAAATCCATCAGAGATCATTCCACTATGAATTTGGAGACCATTGCTTCAGTCTTGCCTTTACTAGAATTACAGAATTTCAGAGTTGAAAGGGACCAAAGAGGACATCTATTCCACCTTATACCTGAACAAGAATCCCCTTCTAATCATGTTTAGCAAGGGGTAATACATTTTTTGCTTGAAGATATCCAGGGAAGGAGAGCCTTGTCAAGGCAGCCCATCCCATTTTTGGATACTTCAAATTATCAGGGAATTTTTCCTCGTAGTAAGTTTAAATTTACCTTTTTGTTCTGAGTTTTACATTCTGGGGCCAAGCTGAGTATCAAATACCTCTTCCATGTGACATCTCTTCAAATGTTTGAAGATAGCTATAATGTCCTCCTAAAGTTTTCTCTTTTCCAAGTCAACCATTTCCGGTAAATTTAATCTATTTTCATATGGCATGATCTCAAAAACATTTTGTTATTCTGGTTCCCATGTTTGGATGTTCTCCAGTTTATCAATGTCTTTGTAAAAATGTGCCAGGTATTAAATACAATATTCCAGGCATGGTCTGAGTAGAGCAGAGCACCCCAGGGTTATTGAATACCTAGTTGCAGACACTGACTATTGTATGGCAGCCAAAAATTGCATTAGTTTTCTTAGCTACCTAATAATAGTTAGTGTTTATATGGCATTTTAAGGTTTACAAAGCACTTTACAGATCTCATTTTGTCCTCACAACAACCGTAGGAAGTAAGTTATTGCACCCCTTTTAGATTGAAGAAACTGAGGCAAAAAGAGCTTATGTGACTTGCCTGGAGTCACATAACTAGTAAGTATGTGAGGCTGGATTTGAACTCAAGTCTTTCTGACTGCAGAGCCCATGCTCCCTTCATCACTGATTCATATTGACCTTGCAATCTATAAAACTCCCTGGATCTTTTTCCAAGCAAACTTCTGTCTAGCGATGCCTTGCCCCTTTTACTAGTTGTGTCACTATGGCAAGTCACAACCTCCCTTAACCTCAGTAGACTCATCTGTAAAATGGAGATAACTATACGTGTACTGCTTACCTTACAGTGCTATGAGGATCAAATGAGATAATATATGTGAGAGCATTATAACTGGAAGACACTGTACGTGTGAACTGTTGATGGCTATGTTAAGGAATTTCTCTGTTTTACCAGAAGTTAGGCCAAAGAATAAGTGATTATAACACATCACAGTAACATTTTAGTATTTGAGGATAGACTCAAAATAAATCTTAGGAATAAATGTGTGTATGATACATACTGGTAAAAAACAACAACAACAAATAATAGCAGATTCTTGCCAGTTGCAAGGTGTCATTCCCAAGATGAATTTTCCTTTATATGCTCCAAATCACGTAAGATCTTGACTAATTTAAGTCCTTCCTTTTCACTCACATTTCAAAACTTTTATTAATGTTTTCCTCATTGAATTTAAATGAAGAAAATTATGGAACAATGAATCATAAATGTTTCTGTCATATGACTTTGTTCATTATAGAATTCTTAAATCCCTCTGGATTCTTACCTATGAAAATAAAGAATGTAGCTTCTTTGACATGACTTTGTTTAAGGGTTTTCATCTCTCTACTCATGGCTGAACTTTTATGACCCACACAAATCTCAAAACAACCTTCACAATAGGCTGTTGGTATCATAGTGAGCCAAGAATAAGAATGCAAGTCTCCATTTACACAGTAATACAAATATATTTACTTAATACATATGGATTATTTGGAGAATTTGAATACATGAATAATCTGTGAACTCTCAGCTGGAGACTCCCACCATCAATGTAATTTGGAAACCTTTTCCTGGCTTAACAGTTAAATCCTACAGAGCTGTTTGTGGTTCATAGAGGTTACACATGCAGCTAGTAAGTGTCACAGACTGGGTTTATACCAATAACTTTACCAAGGGATTACTTTGTAGAGCTAGAACAATAATAATGAAATTCATCTGGAGGAATAAAAAGTTAAAAATTTCAATGGAAATAATGAAAAAAGTGGAAAGGTAGGGGGTCTAGAAGTACTCAATCTATATTCAGATCTCAAACTATAATACAAAGCAGTAATCGTCAAAATGATTTGGTATTAACAAAATTAGAGAGGTTTGTTGCTGGAACAGATCAGGTACACAACATATAGGAGAGTGAATTTGAGGAAAATCCTCAATATCTAGAAAGGGTTGCATTTTTCTAAACAAATTCTAAAACTGTTCCCAAAGATCTATGTGACTTTCACCTCTCTGGGCCTCTGTTTTTTTCCTCTTAAAATGAAAAGGTAGGACCAGGTATTCTCTAAAATCCCATGAAGTCCCCAAATTTTATGGCTATGTATTTGTTGGCAAATATTCCTTGCAAATACTCACCTCCAAATCTATGGTCAAACCATACAGGCAAATCTGTGTTTCAAAACTTATAGAATGAAGCTCTTCAGTTACCATGTGAGGACCCTGAGGGGGAAAACATAATTAAGTTTATAAACATATTATGTTTTAGTCTGACAGCATACAAACACATAGCTTGATTTAAGTGTATAAACTCAAAAACAATTTTCTTTAAATTATTTAGGAACTTCCCCTTAAGTGAAGGATGATTGTTGATGTATTAATACCAAAGTCTTAAAAACATAATAATTTCAGGCTTTTAAAATTTTTGGCCTATTTTCTCACAGGAGACTCTAGCTAAAGATAAATAAATGTCTTCTTTGGTTGACAAATAAGCTGAAAATCTAGTTACTGTACGCATTCCTTTACAAGACAAGGTTTTGTATAAGCACAGCAGAAAGAGGCGCTGGAGTCTTAATGAATTTGTTATGGCAATAAGCCTGATGATGAATGAAGAGAAGGCTAGCATGGGGAAACTGTCAAGTGAGCTTGGTCCCCTCTCTCCAGGATACCTCACCATCCTACTCAACATCAGTCCAGTCTGAGTACATCGTCTTTCAGGAGACAAGTTCCCAAGAGTTAAAAAGAGGACAAAATTCTTTTAAAATAACATTATTATGAAAAGCAAAAGAAAACTGGAATCACTTGGCCCAGAACAAAGAAGGCTAAGAAAATACACAATACTGAACCTATAAAAAGAATGATTACAAGACATTTTCCATGTCTATTAAATAGAGAAAAAAAAGTTAAAAAAAATAAACTTATACTCAAAAAGGGATTTTGATATAAGGAAGAATTTCTTAACTGGCAACTGACTTTTAGTGCTAGATTTCTTCCTTTATTAGTTGTGTTATTTTGGATAAATCTCAAGCTCTCTGGGCCCATTTCCTATGATTTCATGATGATGATGATGTGACCATAATATAAGATGTATCTTCGTAATGGGCAATGAGGTGGTGCAGTGGATAGAGTGCCAGGCCTGGAGTCAGGAGGACTCATCTTCCTGAGTTCATATATGGCCTCAGACACTTACTATCTGTGTGACCCTGAATAAATCACTTAACCCTGTTTACCTCAGTTTCCTCATATGTAAAATGACCTGGAGAAAGAAATGGCAAATCACTCCAGTATCTTCGTCAAGGAAACCCAAAATGGGGCGATAAAGAGTCCAACATGACTGAAACGACTGAACAATATCTTCATGATGAAGATAGGAAACATAACAATCTTTGATGTCTATAGATACAATAAGACAGGCTATCAGAGCACCTTTGACATAATGAGAGAATGTGTTATTGACATCGTCATGTTATAATAGGGGAAAACTTGTTGGTACAATTCATGTTCCATCTTCTACTTTTAAGAAACACCATGTTCAACCTACAGGGAAACCTGACTGCACAGGAAACCTTTAGGCTAGCTAGAAAGTGAGAGCAGGAGCTATATTTAAGGACACTGGGCTATGAAAGAAACACCTGGGTCTTTTGCTAAATGAAAGTCGAGTTATCCACGTACCACTCACAGCTTCTTTTTGTTTTTAATTAAGTTTAATTTTTTTGGTTATACTCTAAGCTCCAAACTGTCTCTCTCCCCTCTCCCTCTCTCCACACCCCAGCTAATAGTATTTTTGTACCTCATAACTTTCCACCACATAAACAGGATTACCTAACACCTCTGGTTTGTGGGTAAAATTGTTATTCATCAACAAAGGTCTGCTGACAAAGAGCAAACATAGGGGGTTACAATTCAAGTTCCCCTCCTGAAGCAGTTTTCACATTTCAGTCACTGCACCTTAGCTAGCTCCTTGCCAAGTCAGCACCTCTGAAGGGTGGGAAAGCTGATTTTATGCGGCACACACAGCAAGACGATCTTCCCACTGATTTACTCCCTACTGAGGAAGCCTCCCAACTCAAAGGTAGACCCTGATCTCTGGATGCCTTACTGTGCAGCTGATAGGACACTAGAGATTTCTCTCTAAATGGAGGCTCCATGAAAAGGAGAGTAAGGAAATTTGAGGCAGTGATCTCTAAACCTGGATTTATGTCAGGACCCAGTTTTCTTGGGTTGAGGTGGAAGAGGGTTGTAGAGTTCCAAAAAATAAATTATTAAAATAAATTTAAATTGAATTAACTTTAATTTGCAAAGAAAATGGTTTTATGTCATTTTGTTTGGTGGCTGGAGAATCTGAGCTGACAATTGAGAAGGAAGAGATCTGGTTGGGTTTGATCACATTTGGGAAATGGGTGCTTTAAATGATCCCAAAATGCTCACTGCTCCACAAGTCCATATCCATAGCACCAATATCCTTCTGAGTATACTGTGTGGATTGTCATGCATTTTGAGAATTTCAAGGGATTGATTGTGAAGAAGACATCTGAAAAGGAGGAAGATTCTGAAAAACTCACAGACATTATTACTACTCAATAAAGATGATCAGGAAGATATCATAGGATCATAGGTTTGTAGCTAGAAAGGGCTTTATATAGGTCATAATGTTGTTGTTTAGTCGTTTCAGTTGTGTCCAACTCTTTGTGACTTCATTTGGGATTTTCTTGGCAGAGGTACTGGAGTGGTTTACCATTTCTTTCTCCAGCTCATTTTACAGATAAGGAAACTAAGGCAAACAGGGTTAAGTGACTTGCTCAGAGTCACACAGCTAGGAGGTGTCTGAGGCAAGATTTGAACTCAGAAAGATGAGTCTCCCTGCCTCCAGGTCTGGTGCTCTATCCACTGAGCCACTTAGTTGCCCAGGTCATGTAATAAATTTTCAGGTAAGGGAACTGAGCCTCAGAGGAGTTAAGTGAGTCACCCAATGTCATATAGATACTGAGCATCAAGGTTTTGAACCCAGCACCTCAGACTCTGAGGTTAGCTCAGAGTCTTACCATAGCACCTCCCTACTTCTCTTAATCAATAACTAATAATCCATATGCCCAGTTTCTTAACCCCACCTATGAGAATGTTATTCTAATCTCATCACTCCACTGAAACTAGGTTATCAATGACCATCTAACTGCCAAATTTGAGTCTTTTTTTTTGTCCTCATTCTCATTGACCTATCTACTACATTTGATACTGTAAACCAGACTCTTCTCTTGGATACTCTTTGCTCTCTGGATTTTCATGGTACTACTCTCTCCTGGTTTACTCCTATCTGTTTGCCCTCATTTAATGTCCTTTGCTTAATCATCATACATATCTCTCCAACTTACTGTGGATGTTTCCCAAGGTTCTGTCCCAAATGCTCTTTTCTTCTTCCTCTACTCACTCTTTCAGTAACCTATTATCTCTATGGAAATGACATATAGCCATAAATATCCATCCCCAGTCTCTCCTCCAAGATTCACTCTTTAGGATGTTTCAAACTGGTTGTCCTAGAGACATATAGAACTCACATTTGGACACTCATGTGTCCAAGACTGAACTCACTATCTTTTCCTCCCAAACCTTCCCTCTTCCAAACTTCCCTATTTCCTCCTATTTCTACCATCCTTCTAGTCTCTCAGGTTCATAAACTTGACATCATCTTTGACTCCTCAGTCTCCCTAATCCCACATATCCAATCAAAAGCCAAATCTTGCTCATTATACCTTCACAATATCTCCTACATCTGAACCCTTTTCTCTACTCACACAACTATCAGCCAGGTATATGCCCTCAGGATTTCTTGCTTAGATTATTGTAATGTCCTCCTAATTATTCTCCCTGTTTCATGTCTCTCCATAATTCAGTCCTTCCTACACACTGCTACCATAATAATTTTCTGTAAGTATAGATCTGACTGGCTCAAACTCCTACTCAATCTACTCCAATTGGCTTCCCATTGCCAATAGACAAAAATTAACTTCTTTGTCTAGTTTTTAAAACCCTGCACAACCTGGCTCTAACCTATCTTACCAGCTTCATTGGGCATTACTCCCCTTTTCTCACTCTGCCATCTAATTAAACTGGCTTTCTCTCTGTTTCTCACACACAACACTCTATCTTCCACCTTTGTGCCTTTTCACTGGCTATGCCAAATGGCCAAACTGCTCTCCCTTCTTTTGTTGCTGGCTAGTCGTTTTCAGTCCTGTCTGACTCTTTGTGACCCCATTTAGGGTTTGCTTAGCAAAGATACTACAAATGGTTAACCATTTCTTTCTCCAGCTCATTTTACAGATGAGGCAAACAGAGTCAAGTGAATTGCCCAGAGTCACACACAGCTAATGTCTGAGGCCAAATTTGAATCCAGGTCTTCCTGATTCCAGGCCTGGTGTTCCATCCACTCTACCACCTAGCTGCCCCAGCAACAACAAATTCAAATGGCTAAAATGTTCTCCATTCTTACTTCTACCCTATAAAGTCCCTCTATTCTTTTACGATGTAACTCAAACACAAAGCACTGCCTGATCCCACCCCCAACAGCTAGTGTCCTTCTTCCAAGCTACCTAATATTTAACTACTTTGTATGTATTTGCATTTATTCATGTTCTATTTATGCTTTATATCTCCTACTAGATATAGCAAATACAGTACTAGTAAGCTCTTTGCAAGTAGGAATTGTTACAATATTTATACTTGGATCCCCTGTGCCTAATACAGCATCCAGCACACAATATGTATTTAATAAATGCATGTTGATTGATTATCTGGGGTATTCTTGATGAATACATAAAAAGACAGTAAATGAGCTTTTGCGAATGATATTCTATGGCCAACCACATTTTTTTTTTAGTTACCCAATGGACTGAAAGGTACAGAGCATACGGGATCCTAGTTTGTTGACTAAAAAAGCATTTGATTTGCTAGAACAAAATGCAGCCTTAAGGCTCTTCTCCAACAAAGTGGGTTTTATGAAGATACTAAGATCATGTAAGATTACACTAAAGAGGCAACCATAGAGATAATTTTGTTTTACAATTCTCTGATTACTAATGTCACGTGGGGGTATACCCAGTAGGGACCTACATGCTATGAAAGGTGATTACCATTTGGTGCCATGGAAAGAATGCTGGATTTGGAGTCACAGGACCTGGGCTTGAATCCATTTTAGCCACTTGCCTCCTATGTGATGTTGGACAAGTTAT